TAGGCAAACCATAAGAGTTCGGAAATGACGTTAATTCGTAATTAGTTTCGTTAAATCTTCAGGAACCGGTGCATTTTTTCATAATATTACCTTATGCAAAGCTGTTTTAATGAATATTGCTATTCATCCAAAGATTCTCGTATAGAATACTGCCAGCAAGAGTAGATAAGATGTCAGTTGATTTTGAACCATATACTGAAACAGTTAATGTTGTTACTAGGAAGTGTTATGCTTGTAATCAAGTCAAAGACATTGATTGTTTTAAGCGTTGCTATTGCACCAGTAAGCATTCTTGTCATTATGTTAAACACACTTGACTTGTTCTGAATGCTTAGATAAGTCTGCTAAACAGACCGTGATCCAGTAAACCTTAAGAAAATAATCTTTCTGAGGAAAATGACTTCAAGAAACAACGCCTACATATTCTAGTGAAATGTCTGCCAGTGAATATGAAAGTCACAGTGGATGTGAAAGTAAGAGTGAATGTGAAAGTGAAAGTGATGATGAAAACATATCTGTTTTACAATGAGATACACAAATCTAGTTATTTCAATAACTGCGATAAGTGTATCTCAACTAAGAACCGACAGAAAATGTTTCTAGGTAAATGCGATGTCTTAAATATCTGTAAAGATCAGCTTGCAGATTACTATGGTTGCGGCAAACGTTGTCAGTCAAGAAATTGATTTGATGATTACATATGTCCCTTTACCAAATTATGCAAATATCCAGAATATGATGAAGTTCATAAAATACTGCGAAATGATGTTCAAAAGGAAGATTAGACACTTGAGTTACATAGTGAAATGAAAGCAATGTATGGGGACCTAGATACATTTGATTTTACAAAATGGCACCCGGAGAAAAATAATTCTTTCAATGACATTTTTGCTGTTGTTTCAGTATTATCAAAGAGTATTTCATATTTTAATACAATATTCTTGAATATGTACAAGCAATATCGCGGCTCTTAGATGAGTCCAAAGTTCTTGTTAAAATAGTCTATCAATGGTAATTCAATATTCATGTATTTTTTCAGTAAATACAGGCGACGGTGATCTAACTAACTACCCAAACTGCGTAGTTATGATGTAACTAGAATACATAAGCAGTTATATATTGCAGCATAGTTATGACATTCTTGGAGAATCCGAGAAGATTAAGCTTTGATACAACCCTTAACCCTAAACTCTGAACCAAATTCTCCGAGGAACGTCTCGCCTATTTTGGGCTATGGCACTTGGATAGATATCGGGGTATTGAGAATAAGATAGTTTACCTTACCTGATGCCAGAAGCCA